ATCCCTTATACTCAGGCGGCTTCAAGGGTTCCCAGTATTCGAGAAGTCAGCGTGAAGTCAATAGTTTCCCCCGTCTATAAAGGGGATGTGAGTACAGTAGACAGAAATACTCAACATCTCACTCAGGAAGGAATGATATCGTCACTGTTTCTGACCTTCTCTGTTGGTGATTAGAAGGTGGGGGAGGGGGAAGTAGTGCTAAGGGGTATGAAGATAGTGATGGGGGGTGCAGTAGGGGTGGATGTAGTGGTGGGTGTTGAATGGAGGTGGGTGTAGCTGTGGGGGTGCAGTGGGGGAGGCCAATATGGTGAGCAAATGGTCAAATATAAATAAAAAATGACCGACTACAAGCACTGAGGGGCCATCTAAAGATTGTAAATGACTCCGTGAAACGCAAAACATCAAATTTATGGATCGAATTACTGGACGGGTCATATATCCAGCCAAGTGTAGGGGTAAAAAAAGACATATTCCAGGAGAAAAATGGTCCAATACAACCTGCAGATGGCCAGTAGTTGGATGATCATGGTCCAGTGAGGGCAGCAAGACCATACAACCGAGATAACGGAGTAAATGGTCATACTAGGGACCCAGCACAAACGATTAAGGCATGAAGTAATGGTCCAGTGTCGAATGCCTGTAACCGATTAAAGCGGGAGTAAATGGCTCAGTGTAGTGTGCCAGATACATGAGTATGACAGGGAAGTAAATGAACTAGTGTGAAGAGGTGAATATGACGGAAGTGTTCAAGTAAATGTCCCACAGACACACAGTTTACATGCAGGTCCTCCACCAACGAGGGAGTAGCCAGGCCTGCTACACGGTCATCACAAGAGGGCGCCCAGCACACGAGTCGGGTTATGACCTACAGAACTCTTTACGATCCACGCCTCATTTCGCCACTGCCGCCTCTAACACGTACTTCAGCAACCTCAAATAGCTTTTCAATAATCTTTAAGCTATTTATTTGGAATTATATACATACTCCGTTAGACTCAAGTACTTCCGTCGCGTGTGTGAGAGGCGAGTATCATTATGTGCGGAGTTGTTTCACAGCTCTAATGCGTCAAAACAAAAACAACCAACAAGCGTGAGAAGAAGTCCACTCCGGCCCCGACACTTCACTACATCCCCTGGCAATGTTTGTGATGCTCATGGTGACTACGTTAATACGAAATTAGAATGGATATGGTGATATAATACAGCCTAAGTTAACAGATGCAGACTGACTGACTGACTGACCGATTCACTGGAACACAGACTGATAAGATTATCCTCCCTGTACAACAAGCCTGGCTGAGGGCATGAATGTTTATTGTGCTGTGAAAGATGCAGTAATGGAGAGCAAACTTCGCCTACATACCCACCCCGAGCAGAACTGACATTCCCTCGCCCAGAAATATTTATTATCTTAACTAATTTCTATGTAACCGAGGTAGTTGTAATTATAAATAAATATATATTTTTACGACAATTATATGAAGCTCTTGAAGACTCACAGGAAATACTTTACCACTCAAGCTTCTCTTTGTAAACATATAAAAGTCAATGTATTTTATCCATAAACTGGAAAACTCGAGGTCCTGGAGACTGAATGATAAATACAGTCCATTAGCGCAGAGAATTCTCCACTTTCAGACTAAAGAAGACCTTCACCGTTCTCCCCGGCACCAGAACAAACACATCCCTCCACGCATCTCAGGTCATACCAAATACGCAGCCCTTTTTATGTTTCTCGTGACAATTCACTTGACACTCGAGGCTTTAACTTTCACATGGATAATCTTCATGGAGATTTAAGCAAAGTACAGGACCTCTTGAGTACACCAGCACGTCACCTTCTGTCTTCTCCTTAGGTTGTTTCCTGCAGGTGACTTGTGGATACGGTAAAAACCAGGTAACTGTACAAACACAACAACAATCACCTGGACACTGTACAAACACACAAAAGCAATCGCGTGGAGACGGTACAAACACAAGAACAATCACCTGTAGACGGTACAAACACACAATAACAATCACCTGGGGACGGTATAAACACACACCAGGTAACCGGACAAACACAAACACACACACACACACACACACCAGGTGACGGTACAAACACACAACAAGCCACTCGTCTTGTGGGTCCCGTTAAGACCTACATGTTCCTTAGTATATATTTCCTTCACTACAAGGTCTTTCCCACACAACTAGATACACCTGTTATTTTTTATACTCCAATCATCAATCAATTTACACACAGTCGACACATTTTTAACATCTATAAAAGCACTTCATTCTAATTCCTCTCAAATTAGTGTCGTGGATGGGAAATTATTAAAACAATTATTTATCTAATTAGACTTTAACAATGTCTTTATATAATTAAAATGTTACAATAATTTATCTTTTAATAAATTACTAAAAATATTACCAACGTGATCACAGCTGGGGTCCAAGAGGGGAGCATGAAGCAAGGGAGAGAGGAATTGAAGGAATCGAGATAAGAGTTGAAAGAAGCAAGATATGAATTTAAGAAAAGAAAGCAAGAGTTAAAAGAAGCATGAGAAGACTTGAAGAAAGCAAGAAAGAAGTTAAATGAAACAAGAGAGATATGAGGAGCGACAGAGTAAACATTCAACCTCACAACGTCACCCTCACCATACTCGTGGCCTGATGGACCCCCAGATGTAAACACCATTACATCACAACGACACATAAACAAGAAACAAATACATTCACCGTAACAAAAAAATATATACAGTAAAATATATCAGGTCTCAGCATGTGTTCTGCTAGAGTCAAGAAAATACTGTCTGTCAACTGAAACTTTCTCCATTTGCCGAGACAATTTATTTGACAAATCACAAGTTCTTTACCCGCACGTCCCAGGCCGCGATTCTTCCAGCTATCATCTTGTGGGGCTGAGATGATGTAGTGTATTATTAACTTGCATAATATGAAGAATACACACACACACACACACACACACACACACACACACACACACATATCAGGTCTACACCACACCCACACCTCACACATATAAACACACCACGCCCACTGTGCCCACACCTCAACACACCACACCCACACCTCACACACATAAACACACCACGCCCACTGTGCCCACACCTCAACACACCACACCCACTGTGCCCACACCTCAACACACCACGCCCACTGTGCCCACACCTCAACACACCACGCCCACACCCTAACACTCCACGCCCACACCCTAACACACCACGCCCACACCCCAACACACCACGCTCACACCTCAACACACCACGCCCACACCTCAACACACCACGCTCACACCTCAACACACCACGAGATTGCCACCATCAGGAGCAGGATGGGTAAGGCAGTAATCCATCACACTCGGGACTGGGATGGGAGTGGTAGATCACCTCACCTGTCAGCGTGTGGTCCTGAGGTGATCCAGGATGATGACTCTACACCTCCCGCCCTCACCTCCTCCACCCTCATCATTACCACCACACCTCCCACCCTCTTCTCCTCCACCTACATCATTACCACCACACCTCCGCCCTCACCTCCTCCACCCTCATCACTACCACCACACCTCCCGCCCTCACCTCCACCCTCATCACTACCACCACACCTTCCGCCCTCACCTCCTCCACCCTCAACCTCCCACCACACCTCCGGCCCTCACGCACCCACCTCCTCCACCCCATCACTTCCACCACACCTTCCGCCCTCACCTCCTCCACCCTCATCACTACCACCACACCTCCCGCCCTCACCTCCTCCACCCTCATCACTTCCACCACACCTCCCGCCCTCACCTCCTTCACCCACATCCCTACCACCGCACCACTCGCCCCCACGCACTTAGCTCCTCCACCTTCACACACCCCCCTCATCCACCCCCAAGCATCTCATTCCACCCACATCAATTAGTGTGGATATCGAGCGATCCTCTCCATCCCGGAAGACTTGACGTGAGTGCCGGACGATCCTCTCCTCCCTGATAGACTTGACATGAGTACCTGACGTTCCTCTCCTCCCTGATAGACTTGACTTGAGTGCCGGACGCTCCTCTCCTCCCCGATAGACTTTACGTGAGTGCCGGACGCTCCTCTCCTCCCTTGTAGGCTTGATGTGAGTGCCGGACGCTCCTCTCCTCCCTGATAGACTTGACGTGAGTGCCGGATGCTCCTCTCCTCCCTGATAGACTTGACATGAGTACCTGACGTTCCTCTCCTCCCCGGTCGACTTGGTTTAAGACAAAGCGGCCTGGCCTCCTCTGATCAATTATAACAATCGGCTGATGGACGGGGAAGATAAGGCACGGTCTCACGTCACCCATTTGTCCCGTTAACACTGAATTATTTCGACCAAGTATAATATCGCCTCCCCCTGATTTTCTTCTGTTAAATTAATATAAGGACACAGGTCATCAGTAGTTAATAGGAACAAGCATCTATATACCTGGACCTCGGGAGATACAGTACATGGAGCCATCAATAATAACTCACCTGGACCTCGGGAGAAACATGGAGCCATCAATAATAACTCACCTGGACCTCGGAAGATACATGGAGCCATCAATAATAACTCACCTGGACCTCGGGAGATACAGTACATGGAGCCATCAATAATAACTCACCTGGACCTCGGGAGATACATGGAGCCATCAATAATAACTCACCTGGACCTCGGGAGATACAGTACATGGAGCCATCAATAATAACTCACCTGGACCTCGGGAGAAACTTTGAGCCATCAATAACTCACCTGGACCTCGGGAGATACATGGAGCCGTCAATAATAACTCACCTGGACCTCGGGAGATACATGGAGCCATCAATAATAACTCACCTGGACCTCGGAAGATACATGGAGCCATCAATAATAACTCACCTGGACCTCGGGAGAAACATGGAGCCATCAATAATAACTCACCTGGACCTCGGAAGATACATGGAGCCATCAATAATAACTCACCTGGACCTCGGAAGATACATGGAGCCATCAATAATAACTCACCTGGACCTCGGGAGATACATGGAGCCATCAATGAAGACAGAGCCGGAGAGCAGGATGTACCAGCAGGTGGCCAGCTCCCCGCGGCTGCAATAAACAAGACATTTATGATAACTTCTGACTAATTAACACAACTTAATAATATACACACAACACAGTATTATAAGGGAAGTAGCTTAAGAATATGTTCATTGTGTACGTTTTGGATCACCTGCAGCTAACCTAACCTAACCAAAACCACACCAGGGAAGAACGTGGAGGAGACAAGCGACTCACAACTGGCGGGTCAGGCTGTACTGTACATACTTCAGTACCTGGTCCACAAGCTCTCTGCTGCTCGTCACCTCAGGAAAACTTTACTTCCACGTCACAGTTAAGACTTTATAGAGGATTTATAGAGTGGAGAGGCTCTAGGAAACACAGCTACAGCTCAATGTCTGCGTAAGGCGACACGAAAAAAAAAATGCATCCCTTACTCACAAAAACCATCCATCACGCAGATCAGGAAGCGGGCATGATGGGCGGACTAATCTCAGCCACAAATTCCTAAATCTTCTAGCCTCTGGGATAGTGAAGTGCTGGTGAAGGACTGAAAGATGGCGCCTTTTACTTGGATCAATTAGGGAGACAAAAGGCGGTCACTGGCATGAGTGTCACGATTTATGAACCGAGGAGTATCATGTGTTTTGAGGAGAAAGGCAGAGACGGTGAAGGGGTGACAGGGAGGAAGAGAGGGGTGAGGAGGAGAAGGAGGAGGAGGAGAAGGAGGAGGAGGAGAGAGGGAGAAGGAGAGGAGTGAGGAGGAGAGGAGTGAGGAGGAAGAGGAAAAGGGGGTGAGAGGGAGGAAGATGAGGACTAGAGAGAGAAGAGAAGGAGGACAGGGGCGAGAGGGAGGAAGAGGTGGAGTGGGTGAAAGAGGGGTGAAAGGAAGGAGAAGGATAAGAGGGAGGAGGGAAATGGAAGAGGGGAAGGAGAGTGATAAGAGGGAGGAGGAGAGAGGGATGGGGAGAAGGAGAGGGATAAGAGGGAGGAGGAAGAGAAGGAGAGGGATAAGAGGGAGGAGGAAGAGAAGGAGTGGGATAAGAGTGAGGAGGAAGAGAAGGAGAGGGATAAGAGGGAGGAGGAAGAGAAGGAGTGGGATAAGAGTGAGGAGGAAGAGAAGGAGAGGGATAAGAGGGAGGAGGAAGAGGAGTGGGATAAGAGTGAGGAGGAAGAGAAGGAGTGGGATAAGAGGGAGGAGGAAGAGAAGGAGTGGGATAAGAGTGAGGAGGAAGAGAAGGAGTGGGATAAGAGTGACCGTCTTGAAGGTAATGGCCACCGAGGCGTTCTTCCAGGTTACACCAAGGTGAAAGAAAACCCAATTCAGCAAACTATCTGATCTGAATGAACCGATTTGAGTCCCCCCCCCCCCTCTATCACCTGCCCTTAAAGCTGGATGATGTGGCTAGATGGTGTGGCTGGACTTGTCCCTGCAAGAGTAACTACCTGACCCAGATCCCCAACAAGCCAGGTCATTGGTGTACCCCGTGTAGGTGATCAATGGTGCAGGAGGGTGGTGGTGGTGGTGGGTCCAGCTTCTGCCATCGCCACATCCTACCATATCTTCCTCACTTCTGCTAGCTGTTGAGAACTATCCCCACTCTCATTCAAGCACTTCAATCAACACACAGCCAACTACCAAAATATTTCTATAATACTGTAATGGTAATTGTACACTGTGTTCAAAGCACATCATTAGTGGTTATACATTTTATATCTGTCTGACCGGAATTTAAAAAGATTAAATAAAAAGGTCAGGGATATGAGTGACTGCAGTGATTACGTTAGTTAACAAACCTCGAATAAATTGGGAAAAATAAAAAGTTAGCATTGTTAAAACTCTAAATGTCAATAAAAACATTACATCACGAAAAAATAAAAACAAATAAATACCAATACAAACATTAAATGACTCAGAACAGAAATATTTGACTATGGTGAATGAAAAACTTAATAAAATTTACGGCTTAACAAGAACTAATGTACAATACAAGATAATTAATCACTACTCCAGTCAACACTTTTAATTATATCAATGGAGCTTAATTTTTTTTATTCTAGCTAACTATGGATTGTGTACCTTGAGTTAACAGGTTACCGTAATTCCTATAATCGCTTCTGTCTTTGCCTATAACTTACTTACTCACCTGTACTCACTGCACAATTAACTCCTTGCGTATGATAACAAACCTACGAGTACGGTGATTTAACCCATTGAGTACGAAGAAAAACCCTCGAGTACGATGATTTAATCCCTTGAGTACAATTATTTAACCCTTTGAGAACGATGACTCAACCCCTTGAGTATACGATGACTTAACCCTTTGACAAGAAAGGTTTAACCCCTTGAGTACGATGACAACCCCTGGAGTACGATAACTTAACCATTTGAGAACGATGACTTAACCCCGAGAGTACGATGACTTAACACTTTGACAACAATGGTTTAACCCCTTGAATACTATGACAACCCCTTCAATACGATGACTTAACCTCTTGAGCATAATGACTTGATGACCTCGGGGGTTGTCATCGTACTCAAAGGGTTAAATCATCGTACTCAGGGGTTCTCATCGTACTGATATCACTGTGTTTTAAGTAATGTCAAGTTTTCATAAATATAATGCAATAACTACTAAACAAGGTCACCGTAGGCTCGTAAAGCTTTTTATTTCAGTTCCAGATATAAATGGATTAAATCATTCGACCAATGTGTAAGTCAATTACGAGCGTTTTCAACTCTGACGTTGTGTAAATAAAAAAATAATAATACTTTTCACATTATATTGTTCGCTAATTGACGATTGAGAATGATGGTTTAATCTGATGATGATGATGAAAATGATGATGACGATTATGATGATGGTTTAAGCTGATGAAAATTAGGGTTTAATTAGATGAGGATGCTGGTTTAATGTGATGAGGATGATGATAGTTAATCTGATGAGAATGATGGTTTAATCAGATGAGGATAATGGTGTAATCTGATAATGATGGTTTACTCTGATAATGGTGATGATGATTTAACCCCTTGATAAACAAGACAAAGTGAAGAACATCCTTGGTGAACATTCAAGTAGTAAAAACGATCAACAGATGAACATAATTTGTGAATTATATGAAGTAAACCAGAGTGTCTCCATTCCGCGTACCAAGCATCGTCCCACACCCCAGATGGTTTCAACGTGGGGTAAAGGCGAGTTGAACTTATACACAGAGGTCTGCGTAAGAGAGTATTTTGTGGCGGGATGTATCAGTCTTGGAACCACTATAACTTGTCCTCGAGTATATACAGAGACAGCAATTTTCTCCAAGATTTGGATTTTTACAGGAGTTTTTTTCTAAGCCGTTATTTCCTGGTCACACTCCAGCTATCAAGAGAGAGGTACTCACTCGGGTTGTCCACCACCAGACTACTATTGGTCCTGAGTTGTGTTCGTGTACTATAATCTTATTAAAATTAAAATCTGGGTTCCCGGAGAGATGTAAAATCTGAGAGGATCAGTAAAAAAAAAAAAAAAGATTGAAAACGTTTGGAGTTGAGGGCCGTGGTCGCCAACCCACAGACAGGAGGTCGTCCACTTCCTTAACCAAATAATTATTTTGAAATCTCAATACCTGCAACTGTAATATTGTATCAAAATTAGCAACACGAACGACAACTAAACCAAATTCATTAAGCTATACAGTATTTAATATCTTTCATCACAAATAAATCTTTAGGTAAAGTTTCAACAATTTTTACCGCCACAGGATTACCGAAAATCTATCATAGCTAAACACAAAAAAAAAGAAATAAAAATCATTCGTCATAAATCAGGGTACACCAAACACGGGAAAAAATAAATGGTAAATAAGTTTCATTAGTGCGGTATCTTTTCATTCAGCAGCATTAATATCCTACCTTCCCTAATGAACGGCCCCATTGAATGACTCTCCGGCCATTCTTCACCTGGACGGCACATTTCCTCTCTCTGTCCACCATTAAATCTCAACGGGAAGGACCCAGAGAGACGAACACACTCACGTGATGCTGCTCTCTGACGTGAAAACACTACGAGGGTTGCCCACACTAATGGAGCCGGCGTTTGTAGGCACCCTATGATGCCCACAGTCACCCTCCACTATGATGCCCACAGTCACCCTCCACCATGGCGCCCACAGACACCCTCCACTATGATGCCCACAGTCACCCTCCACTATGATGCCCACAGTCACCCTCCACTATGATGCCCACAGACACCCTCTACCACAGACACCCTCCACCATGATGCCCACAGACACCTCTATCATGGCGCCCACAGACACCCTCCACCATGGCGCCCACAGACACCCTCTACCATGGCGCCCACAGACACCCTCCACCATGGCGCCCACAGACACCCTCCACCATGATGCCCACAGACACCCCTCTATCATGGCGCCCACAGACACCTCCACCATGGCGCCCACAGACACCCTCCACCATGGCGCCCACAGACACCTCACCATGGCGCCCACAGACACCCTCCACCATGGCGCCCACAGACATCCACCACGGCGCCCACAGCCCACAGTCACCCTCCACTATGATGCCCACAGTCACCCTCCACCATGGCGCCCACAGACACCCTCCACTATGATGCCCACAGACACCCTCTACCATGGCGCCCACAGACACCCTCCACCATGGCGCCCACAGGCACTCCCTAACATGGCGCCCACAGACACCCTCCACACTATGATGCCCACAGACACCCTCCACCATGATGCCCCAGACAGACATCACCATGGCGCCCACAGACACCCTCTACCATGGCGCCCACAGACACCCTCCACCATGGCGCCCACAGACACCCTCCCACCATGATGCCCACAGACACCCTCTATCATGGCGCCCACAGACACCTCCACCATGGCGCCCACAGACACCCTCCCACCATGGCGCCCACAGACACCTCTACCATGGCGCCCACACACCTCCACCATGGCGCCAAGACCTCTCCACCACGGCGCCCACAGACACCCTCCACCATGGCGCCCACAGGCACCCTCCACCATGGAACCCA